CTCCGCCCATTTGAAAAATAGTGCTAGCATTGTGGCAGTGGTATCCTGAGTGTGCGCAGGCGGGGGGGGGGGCGCTGCATGCAGTTTGGTGCGCTTGGTGGAAGTCGGCATTTCAAATACTTACACTGAACTTTTCAAAGTTAAGGTATTCGCAAGAAAAGCTGGCGTGTGTGTATGTGTGATTGATGATAGCTGACAAGGAGCGCATATGACGAGTGTACGTAGTGTGCGTGCGTGTGTGTGTGCGCATGCGTGTGTATGTGTGTGCACGCGTGCTTGCACGTGGGTACGCGTGTGCATGTGCATACGGGCGTGAGCACGTGCCTGTCTGTGGGCACGTGCATGCGTTTACGTACATACGTGTTCGCGTGCGTGTGTGCGTGCGTACGGGCATGTGTATACGCGTGCGTGCGCGTGAGAGCCGTGACGGTGAGTGCGTGCGCGCGCGTGCGAGTGTGTGTGTGTGTGTGTGTGTGCGTGAGTGTGTATACGCGTGCATGCGTGCGTGCGCAGGCGTGCGCGTGAGTGCGACTGCGTGCGTGTGCATGTGAGTGCGTGCGTGTGCATGCGAGTGTGTGAGTGCGACTCTGTGCGTGTGCATGCGAGCGTGTGCGTGCGTGAGTGCGTGCGTGTGCATGCGAGTGTGTGTGTGTGCGCGTGTGCGTGCGTGTGAGTGCGTGCGTGCGTGCGTGCTTGCTTGCGTGAGTGTGTGCGTGCGTGCGCGTGAGTCAGGCATGAGAGTTGTCCGCTAATTAGCGGAAAATTTTCCGCTTTTTTAATTTTTTTTTAAATTAAAATTTTAAAATTTTGTCCATTTCTATGTACCGTGTTGTCGAACATTACGAGCGTACTGATTGGCTGTTGTGGCCGCACCCCCGCCTTTAATATCTTCAGCTAATTTCTCTGTTACTCACTCTCATGTACTTATATCTGGATGTTTCGTCTTCGCACCACGCGACGCCGGCGATTCAGTAAAACACGCGTGTGTGTGACAAACGACAAAGATCAGTGCTCTCCAAGCATACGTACACAACATACTAGTAGGAGAACTAGCAGCGCCACCTGCGGGATGGATGCGCAGTTAGGGCTGACATTGGATTGTGGATTGACACGCACGCGCGTTTTTGTAACGCCGAGGACGGCGGGTGAGATGCGGAAGTAAGTATTGATCGATGAACTCTGGACGGAACTCCGGCGGGAGAAAATTTCGATAGTAAGTTAATTTCTTGGATTTAACGCGAGATAAATTGTATGAATTCGTAGTTTTGCGACGAAACCCAATGCACTTATTTCATTCACTCTGTGAAGAAGCTTTCCCTTCGTAGAATTACTCGGGGGTGGGGGTGGGGCTGGGGGGTTAATGGAAGCCACGTTTGGTAAGGTTCTGTTATTTTAGCGAGGGGTGGAGGGTTATCCTTGGTATATTTTCGCGCCGAGGAGGCGGTAGGTGGGGGTTTGTTTTTCGACGGAGTTGGCACAAATTTGGTTTGAAAAAAAATGGTCTGAAATTGACGTTAAACGGAATTTGTTTAAATTCATGAAGAGTTTTGATTTGGTTGCAGTTCTTATCTATGATCTGTTCTGCAGTTAACGATTATCAGTGAACGATTAATTTCTAATGGAAAATCCGTCCGTGAAACAAGTTTACTGAGAGAAAATTTTACTTTGGAAAAAAATCGTTTTTCGGGGTGTCATGTATGCGAATTGGGTTCGTCGCCATTTTTCAACGTTTGAAAAGAAGTGGGACGTTTCAGTGCAGTGAATTTTCTTGGTTAAACTTGTTAATGAAGCTAAAAAAAAGAAAAATGGGTGAAAATGATAAGAATGGAATGGCTACAGGCCGCTTGCAAACTCCACGACAGATGGCGCTTTCGCTCATTGGCTCAATCTACCACTGCCACAAGTAGATTTTCGGTTACAATTTGTAATGTTTTTTTACCACAAGTTTTACAGCGGCCAGGTTACTCGTATCCTATGTAATAAGATTTGTACTAATAAAAGTTGCAAAGATATTAAAAATCC